TCTCAAGTTAGGCGTTTTTATTTCAGTTGACACAACCAAGGCTGAGAACTGTCACTCTAAACCAGTGGTTCTCAAACTTGAGTGTGCATCAGAGTCACCTGGAGGGCACATTAAATAAAACACACATAGCTGGGCCTCACCCTCAGAGGTTCTGATCCAGTTAGGGTGGAACCTGAAAGTCTGCATTTCTAACAGGCTCCTAGGTGATGCCAATGCTGTTGGTCCAGGGACCACACTTTGAAAGGTAGAGCCCCCCGTGGACCACTGGTTCTCAGCCTTGGCTGCACATGAGAATCACTGGTGGGCATTTAAAAAATACTGATGTCTGAGCCCCTCCCTAAACCAATTAAATTGTAATGTCTGAGGCCCAGGGATCAGCGTTTTTAAAGGTGATACAAATGTGCACTGAGGCTTGTGATCCACTGCCCTAGACCTAGATATTTTACAGCTGAAAGAGATCATTTAGTATAAACCCTTAAATTTCCTGAGAATTTATAGCTACTTTAGCTACTACTGGTCCAGATGTCCCAATCCCAATTTCCACTATTCTTCCTTAATCATTACTGTGTATTAACAATGGGGATTGTAAATCAACTATACTTCAATAAAATTAAAAATAATAATTAAAAAAACAATGTGACCAATTTAGGGTGACCAACTTGTTGTCCTGGTTTGCTTAGGACGCTCCTGGTTTTAGCACCGAAAGTTCCAGATTCAGAGTAAATCGGGACAGTTGGTCACTGTGGTAATGTTTTACAGCTCACAGATTGGAATACAGTACTATTAGATTTTTTTATTTTTTCTGTACGCGGGCCTCTCACTGTTGTGGCCTCTCCCGTTGCGGAGCAAGGCTCCGGACGCGCAGGCTCAGCGGCCATGGCTCACGGGCCCAGCCGCTCCGCGGCATGTGGGATCTTCCCGGACCAGGGCACGAACCCGTGTCCCCTGCATCGGCAGGCGGACTCTCAACCACTGCGCCACCAGGGAAGCCCAGTACTATTAGATTTTGCTTCTAACATCCAGCATCCATCCTCCACTAAAAGGAACCAGGGCTCCTTGGAAACAGCTGATTCCAGGACTAGGGCAGAGAAATGTATGGTGAGCCTAGGAATTTTCTGTCAGAATCTAAGGAAGTGCTCAAAGACTCATGGAAGCATGTCAAAAGGACTAAAGGGACTCCCACTGGCCAAACTGGAGAAAATTTGAGCATTACAAAGAAAATGCTGAACTGAATGTAAAGCACTGAATTTACATTAAGAAAAACATTGAATTAAGTGACTTCCAAAACAATAAGTAAAACTACTTCTCTACTATTGGAAGTAACTATTACATCAACTTGCTCTGAAAATTGGTATTCGAGGGAAAAGAATTAGGCCTTTACATGATCTTTTTGGTTCATATCCTATAGATGAGAAAAAGCTCATCTTTACAGAAGAATGCCAGCTAAGAAACATAGACTGGATGATAGAATTAGGAAATCACCATCTTGCAACCCCTGATTAAATCACAAAGTCAGGAAATACATTTTAAAAATTAGAAAAACAAATTACTGAGTGAGGAAACAGGAATTGATGGATGCTGAAATTTTAGGTGAGAGGTTATTGGGGAACAGGACAGTCACATGGTACCAAAGTAACACCCCAGATTTCTTGCTAATTAGGAAGAGAAAATTAAAATTACATGGAGAGTTCTGAGGGCCACCACCTTAACCATCACCTTTACTAAGAGTGGACAACTGCCATTATGTACCACTGGATGGGATGCTACATGAAGTACACAGCATTATTTATGAAGCATACTTATCAAAACTGAATCTAATCAAGCCTCTGGACCTAACAACTTCCAGTTTACAGGAAACTCAGGTGCTGGAAGGGAAAGCTAAACACCATCATAAGAAAACAACCATCCTGGTTAACCCAGGACTGAGGACTGTCCAGGATGCAGGATCAGTGTTAAACCAGGAGAGTCCCAGGAAAACTAGGACGGTTGGGCACACACACAACAGTCAGAAAGATTCATAAGTGGGGCAGACCTGGTCTCTAAAAGTCAGTGATTAACAAAAAGTGGGGAGACTGTTCTAGATTAAAAGACACTAAAGAGAGACCACACTCAAATGCAACATGTGAACTGGCCATACAAGACTTCAGGGGACAGCTGGGGAAATCTGAATATAGAGCCGTACTACTCAGCTAGCCCACAGATGTAAATGAACCAGGTCACTAATCACACTATTTAATCTGGCTGACATATTTTTGGTAAGAAAACTTCCTCAATGAAGGATGTGGTGCACTGATACACACTCTGATACAAGCTCCTTATCTCCCTCTGAACCATCAAGCAGTTTGCAGACCACACGTTGGGAAGCACTGTACTAGATAATGGATAACACTAGCAAAGATCACTGAGGTACTGGTAATTTCTTTTTTGGCTGGGCTTACGGTATTATGGTTATGTAGAAAAATGTCCTTACACTTAGAAGATGGATGCTGAGACGTTTAAAGGTGAAGTGCCATGGTGTCTACCACTTACTTTCAAATGGTTTATCAAAGAATAGATACACACACAGATAAAGCAAATATGGCAAAATGTTAACATTTGTTGAATCCTGGCGGTGGGTATACTGGTGTTCATTGTATTATTCTTTCAACTTTCTTGTATGCCTAAAACTTTTCATTATAGAAATGACGAAAGCATAATTCTAAGATCATCTTACTTACAAGGTGTAACACTAACAGAATTACCTGGAAGCTGATTACCTACAGCTAATCCTATATTTATTCATCAGATATTCCTTAGGGGATAGCTAAGTTAAAAATAGAAAAATGAGTCGAGTTAGCCAAAAGAAAAAAGCACATTCCCAGCTGAGGAAACAGAATGAGAAAGGACCAGAATGGAAAAAAATTATCTTTTTCAAGGAAAGGAACTCAATGTGTATAGAAAAATGAGGCTACCCAGATTATGAAGGGGCTTTGAGGCTTCATGAAGAATCTGAGACTTAATTTTAAAGGCAAGAAGGAGCCCATAACAGACAGATTTCAAGCACCAGAGAAACACAATGAGACTGGCATTTTAGAAAACTCACTGTGGCTGTAGAGAACAGAATGGATGGGGGTAAGAATGAAGACAGCAGCACAAGTTAAGAACATGGCCCTTTCAGTAAATAATCTGGTGAGAGATGATGGTAACTTGTAGGGATGGAGACTTGGTGATACACTGCATGTGGGCAGAGGGTATGGGAAAAGAAGGACTCAGATATAATTCCCAGGCTTCTGGCTTGAGTGACCAAGTAGATTGGAGTCTGTCATACAGAGTGAAGTAAGTCAGAAAGAGAAAGACAAATACTGTATGCTAACACATATATATGGAATCTAAAAAAAAAAAAAAAAAAAAGAAAGGAAGAAACTGGTCAGAAGAACCTAGGGGCAAGATGGAATAAAGATGCAGACCTACTATAGAATGGACTTGAGGATGTGGGGAGGGGGAAGGGTAAGCTGGGAGAAAGTGAGAGAGTGGCATGGACATATATACACTACCAAAATAGAGAGTTAGTCGGAAGCAGCCGCATAGCACAGGGAGATCAGCTCGGTGCTTTGTGACCACCTGGAGGGATGGGATAGGGAGGGTGGGAGGGAGGGAGATGCAAGAGGGAAGAGATATGGGGACATATGTATATGTATAACAGATTCACTTTGAAAGCAGAAACTAACACAGCATTGTAAAGCAATTATACTCCAATAAAGATGTAAAAAAAAAGATTGGAAATATAGGAGCAAGAACAGGTTTGGGGGAAAGATGTGAAGCATGCAACATTAGATATGTTGATTTCAGAGTACCTAGAAGATATCCAGGTGGAATCCACCTTGTCGGCAGTTGGATATGAGAATGAGAAAGATAACTCCAACTTCCGGTTTACATAACTAATAGATGGGATTGCCATTTACAGATATAGGCAACAAAGGAGGAGAAAATAAAAGGCACTTTTCATTTATGTTTTACATTAAGGTTTTTCAGCTATAAAAATAATATAATATTATTTATATAAAATAAACTAGGGAAATGGAAACATAATGTATATAATATACAAATATATATTATTTACATAAAATGAAAAATAGGGAAATGGGAATAAAACTTATCTGACTACCATTAATCAACATTTTTTTGTCATTTTAGATTATTTCCTTCTAATATTTTTTATATGGATATTTATATAGTAGCTTTAAGAGCCATATTTTTCTGAGAAAGGGGCTTCTCTAGAGGTATTTAGGATTGAGAAAAATTAAAAACACTAGCTGACCTGATATCAGTTTGTAAATCAGACAGTGCTCACTAAGTTACACGTCCTTAGTCTGTTAAGATTCAAAACATAATTTAATTGTTGGGCACGTATCCAAGAACTCCGGAGTTGAAGAAATCATGACTAGAGAACATCAGTTTCAATACCCATACTACACAGCCCAATTATAGGTATTCAGTTTCTTCTTTGAAGCTCTCCTTTCCCATAGGGTCTCTACTACAACCACTTCTCCCTCCACAGGTGAGAGCTAATTGGTGGTATTGCTCCTAAGGGAAACCACATTTTTAAAAGCTGTTCTGGAAGCCTCAAAGCCTAGAAAACCCAAAGTAATGAATCTCTACTGAGATCACACAGTCACTCTGCAATCATTTCATAGCTTACTCTGCTTTTTAAAAAAGCTAGACTTGTTTCTAGTTCTAATCCTTGGCTACCTCATGAATGCAGAACACATCTAGTAAAATCTCCAGGCAAATACAGAAACCCGAGTCAATGTGAAATTATGACCAGATGTGGAAAAAAGCTCAGTTGTCACTCCACCACAGGCAGAGCTAGACAGAGACAGACTGTAAACTAGGATCAAGGGAGCCATGATAGACTGACAGCAAAAAGAAGGAACAGTCCAGATCCAGGGCTAAGGAGTGGTCACAACCAGGCAAACATGCAAGAGAGGCAGCAAACGTGAAAACTAAGGTTATAAATCTACCTCAGGTAGGAGGTCCACTATATTCTTCCTGCTCAGGGTCCAAAGATTGGTTTCCTCGGTAATGCTCTCAGGGTCAGCGATGTAGCAATATGCTAGACCTGGAAGTTACTGACACTTCAGCCTTAACAAAGAACCTGCAGGCTTGTAGGAGGCTGCTTATTGAGTGAAGAGAAGCACCAGCTCACAGTGCGGGGCGTGGGGGAACAGATCCACAGGCACAGCCTGTCTTAGGACGAAAGGCTCGCCAAGGAGCTTCTTGGCAGAGTTTGGAGGACAGCACAACCTGTAGAAAGAAATCATAATATCAGTTTGAGATAGCCTAATCCACCAGAGGGCAGACAGCAGAAGCAAGAAGAACTACAATCCTGCAGCCTGTGGAATGAAAACCACATTCACAGAAAGATAGACAAGATGAAAAGGCAGAGGGCTAAGTATCAGATGAAGGAACAAGATAAAACCCCAGAAAAACAACTAAATGAAGTGGAGATAGGCAACCTTCCAGAAAAAGAATTCAGAATAATGATAGCGAAGATGACCCAGGACCTCGGAAAAAGAATGAAGGCAAAGATTGAGAAGATGCAAGAAATGTTTAACAAAGACCTACAAGAATTAAAGAACAAACACCTAAACAGAGATGAACAATACAATAACTGAAACGAAAAATACACTAGAAGGAATCAATAGCAGAATAACTGAGGCAGAAGAATGGATAAGTAACCTGGAAGACAGAATGGTGGAATTCACTGCTGTGGAACAGAATAAAGAATGAAAAGAAATGAAGACAGCCTAAGAGACCTCTGGGACAACATTAAACACAACAACATTCGCATTATACAGGTCCCAGAAGGAGAAGAGAGAGAGAGAGACAGAACCTGAGAAAATATTTGAAGAGATTACAGTCAAAAACTTCCCTAATATGGAAAAGGAAATAGCCACCCAAGTCCAGGAAGTGCAGAGAGTCCCATACTGGATAAACCCAAGAAGAAACACGCCAAGACACATAGTAATCAAATTGGCAAAAATTAAAGACAAAGAAAGTATTGAAAGCAACAAGGGAAAAACGACAAATAACATACAAGGGAACTCCCATAAGGTTAACAGCTGATTTCTCAGCAGAAACTCTACAAGTCAGAAGGGAGTGGTATGACACATTTAAAGTGATGAAAGGGAAGAACCTACAACCAAGATTACTCTACCTGGCAAGGATCTCCTTCAGATTTGATGGAGAAATCAAAAGCTTTACAGACAAGCAAAAGCTAAGAGAATTCAGCACCACCAAACGAGCTCTACAACAAATGCTAAAGGAACTTCTCTAGGCGGGAAACACAAGAGAAGAAAAGGACCTACAAAAACAAACCCAAAACAATTAAGAAAATGGTAACAGGAACTTACATATTTATAATTACCTTAAATGTGAATGGATTAAATGCTCCAACCAAAAGACACAGGCTCGGGCTTCCCTGGTGGTGCAGTGGTTGAGAGTCTGCCTGCCGATGCAGGGGACACGGGTTCGTGCCCTGGTCCGGGAGGATCCCACATGCCGCAGAGCGGCTAGGCCCGTGAGCCATGGCCGCTGAGCCTGCGCGTCTGGAGCCTGTGCTCCGCAACGGGAGAGGCCACAACAGTGAGAGGCCCGCGTACCGCAAAAAAAAAAAAAAAAAAAAAAAAAGACACAGGCTCGCTGAATGGATACAAAAACAAGACCCATATATATGCTGTCTACAAGAGACCCACTTCAGACCTAGGGACACATACAGACTGAAAGTGAGGGGATGGAAAAAAGATATTCCATGCAAATGGAAATCAAAAGAAAGCTGGAGTAGCAATACTCATATCAGATAAAATACTTTAAAATAAAGAATGTTACAAGAGACAAGGAAGGACACTACATAATGATCAAGAGATCAATCCAAGAAGATGTAACAATTATAAATATATATGCACCCAACATAGAAGCACCTCAATACATAAGGCAAATGATAACTAATAAGAACCTGCTGTATAAAAAAATAAATAAAATAAAATTCAAAAATTCAAAGAAAAAATATTCAGTTTGATAAACCAAGGAGAAACTACAGGAACACAATTCCTTAAAATTTAAGCCCTTCCTCTGTGTTCCCACAGCTATCACATTTAATGTAACTACCTGGGTTTTTTAAACCATCTTCCTCATGGGAGTATATAATCTTTTTGAGGCTAGAAATGAGGCAAAAACTGCTTATTATTCATCTCTGTGTTCTCAGTGTGTGACACAGAGTAGGGGTTCAATGGTGAATGGAGCAAGGGGCCTGAGTCATACACTTTTCTGTATGATTTACACACAATAGGTTATTAATATATATATTACTGAATTATTCTACTGAAAACTTCCTAAGCAAATTACTTTTTCCCTTATCACAGGAAGTCAAGTAAAAATGAGAACAAAAATTCACCTATAAACTCACCATTCAGAGAAGAATACATGCTTCTAACTTTTCAGGATATATCTTTCCAAATATGTACATTTAAATTGGTTTCTTAAAGTGGAGTCACACTGTACATACTATACACACTGTTTTACAACAGCTTCTTCACATAATAACACATCATGAGCATCTCTCCACTATATGTAGTTACCTCACTTTTATTGGCTATATGGTATTTCATTAAATAAATGTAATGTAGCTTATTTATCTAATTCCTTGCTATTGGAAATGTAAGCTGTTTCTAACCTTTTGCTATTTCAAAAAGTCCCTTCATGAATATTCTTATAGTTATATCTTTGCTTACATTTTTAGTTATTTAGAAGAACTGCTGAGTTGAAGGGCCTGTATATTTTTAAGGCCCTAAGATATGTATGACTAAACCTTTTTAAACCTTGTTAAAAAAGGTTGTACTAATTTACACTCAAACCAACAAACCAGATGAGTTCTTGTTTCCCTGGCTAACACTCAGTCGTTTAAATAGCACTGTCCTATTCAAATAAGGAACAAGACAAGATATTCACTATCACTCCTACACTGGAACATCTTCTTATCCAATGTAATAAGAAAAAAAAAGTATTAGAAGGAGAGAGACAAAACTGCTTTTATATGGTGATCATATGGCCAGCTACCAAGAAAATGAAAGAGAATCAACTGGAAAACCTGTAAAACAAATAAAAGAATAGGTAGCTTGACACAAAATCAGCAATAACGAGTTAGAAAATATCATGAAAAAGGTCCCTGTCATAAAAGCAATAAAAACTTTACAATATCTTGTATTAATCTTAAGAAAAAAGACCTGTATTGGGAAAAAAATACGTGTTTATATTTAGAGAATTCCATAAGCCTAGAGTAATTGAAGAGATAGGTCACATACCTGTATAGAAAAAATACTGTAAAAGATTTCAATTCTCCTTAAATTAATTGGAATCAATAAATTCCAATCACAAGCCCAGAAGAATATTTTTGATAAGTTGATTCTAGAGCTCTGTTAGAAAATACATGAAAACGTTAAGAGCATATATCCTTTAACCCAGCAATTCCACATCAGGGATTTATCTAATAAATATACTATCACATACACTTATTCATCACATATACATAGTCATTGCAAAAATACACAAAGATATATGTACAAGGACATTCACTGCAACACTGTGGTAACAATAGAGTAGAAACAACCTCAAAATTCATTAGGATGAATGTCCCTTCAAAGGGACAAGTTAAATTATATATTTATGTAAGTTAAAACTATACAGCCTATTTTAAAAATTAAGTAGACCTTTAAGTACTGATGCAGATCCTACATCATTGTAGAACAATCTCCAAAATCTACTGTTAAGTGACAAGCATGGTGCAGAATAGTGGGTTTTTAAAAATTTTTTAAATTGAAGTATAGTTCATATACAATGTTGTGTTAGTTTCAGGTGTACAGCAAAGTGATTTAGTTATACATATATATATATATTTTTTTAATTCTTTTCCATTATAGGTTATTACAAGATACTGAGTATAGTTCCCTGTGCTATTCAGTAGGTCCTTGTTGTTTACCTATTTTATACACAGTAGTGTGTATACGTTAATTCCAAACTCCTAATTTATCTCCCCCACCACCACCGCTATCCCCTTTGGTAACCATAAGTTTGTTTTCTACGTCTGTGAGTCTATTTCTGTTTTGTAAATAAGTTTGTTTATATATCACTTTTTTAGGTTCCACATATAAGTGACATCGTATGATTTTTTTGTCTTTGACTTATTTCACTTAATACGATAATCTCTAGGTCCATCAGAACAGTGTTTATAGTCTGTTTCTATCTGTTTACAAAAGAAAGAGCGATGTACACACACACACACAGAATATATCTGGTAGGCTACACAAGAAACTAGGAAGAGTGGTGACATCTGAAGGACTAGGAGCCAGGAATAAGAAGACTCATTATTCACTGCATGCACATGCACTCTTATGTACTGTTTTTTTTTCCTACCATATGCACATACTGTCTTTTCAAAGTAACTTTTTCTTGCCTTTCTGAGGCCATGTTTATTGTTTTACTCAGTCTGAGTGTTAGCAGAATCCTAGGCTTACTCTTAATCGTTGCATTTTTTAATCTATTGTTTTGCAAAATAAATATTTTCATTTTATTCAAAAGTGAAACATATAAAGGTATATAGTGAAGTTTCTCCACACCTCTGACTCCCATCCCTGCAGTTTTCTCCCACCATAGATAACTACTATTATCAGTTTTTTGTTTTTGTTTTTGTTTTTTTGGGCCGCACATCGCAGTATGTAGGACCTTAGTTCCCCGACCAGGAATCGAACTGGTGCCCTCTGCAGTGGAAGCACAGAGACTTAACCACTGAACCACCAGGGAAATTCTTTTTTTTTCTTAATTTTTTTCTATTAATCAGTTTCTTATAAAACTTACCAGTTTCTGTATGCATATACAGCAAATACAAATCAATATTCTCTTCACCTTTTGTCCGTTTTTACAAAGATAGCTATCATTATATCAACAATTCTGCATACCTTGCTATTTCTATTCAGAACCAAAATCACAAGCCACAAAAGAAAAAACAGACTGGACATCACCACAATTAAATAATCTTGTGCTTCAAAGGATAATGTCAAGAAAGTGAACAGACAACCCACAGAAAAGAAAATTTCTGTAAATCATATATCTGATAAGGAACTTATATCTAGAATTTTAAAAGAATTCTTAAAACTCAATAATAAAAAGATGACCCAACTGAAAAATGGGCAAAAGATCTAAATAGACAGGTCTCCAAAGAAGATATATATAGGGCTTCCCTGGTGGTGCAGTGGTTGAGAGTCCGCCTACCGATGCAGGGGACACAGGTTCGTGCCCTGGTCCGGGAAGATTCCACATGCCGTGGAGCGGCTGGGCCCGTGAGCCATGGCCACTGAGCCTGCACATCTGGAGCCTGTGCTCCACAACGGGAGAGGCCACAACAGTGAGAGGCCCGCGTACCGAAAAAAAAAAAAAAAGATATATATATATATATATATATATATATATAAATGGCCAATAAACATATGAAAAAATGTTCAACATCATTAACCATGGGGAAATGCAATCAAAAACACAAGGAGGTACCACTTCTCACCCATTAGGATGTGTATAATAAAAAAGACGACAGCAGAGTTAACAAAGACGTAGAGAAATTGGAACACTCATATACCGCTGGAGGGAATTTAAGATGGGAGGCTGCTTTGGAAATAGTCTGGCAGTTCCTCAAAAGGTTAAAATAGGTACCATACGACCCAGTAATTACACTACTAGGTATCTACCCAAGAGAAATGAAAACATATGTCCCCACAAAAACTAGCACATGAATGTTCATAGCAACATTATTCATAAGAGCCAAAAGGTGGAAACAACCTAAGTGTCCATCAACTGATGAGTGAATAAATGTGGTATATATCCATAGAATGGAATATTATTCAGCCACAAAAAGGAATGAAGTACTGCTACATGCTACAACACAGACGAACCTTACAAACATCATGCTAAGAGAAAGAAGCCAGATGTGAAGGACCACATTTGCAAAGAACTTCACTTGTATGAATTCTGCAGAATAGGCAAATCCATACAGACGTAAGGTCGATTAGTGGTTGCCTAGGGCCAGGGGGTTGGGAAAAAATGGGAAGTGACAGGTGAGAAGTGCAGGGTTTCTTTTGGAGCGATGAAAGTGTTCACAATTAGACAGTAGTGATGGCTGCACAAGTCTGAGAATGTACCAAAAACCTTTGAATTGTACATTTTAATTAAGGTTGAATTTTATGATATGTGAGTTATATCTCAATAAAGTTGTTAACAGAAAATAACATACCTTAGAGATCTTTCCGTATCAGTAAACAGAGAACATCTTCATTCTTTTTTATAGCAGCATGGTATTCCATTGTATGGATGTACATATTTGATTTAACTAGTTCCTCACTGATGGACTTTTAGGACATCTCATCATTTGCTGTTACAATATTGCAATCAATCAATCAATCAATGCATGTCATTTTACATGTGTGTCAGTATATTTGTAGGATAAAGCCTCAGGAATGGAATTACTGGGTCAAAAGGTATATATACATTTATGATCTTAATCTATATTGCTAAATTTCCTTCCATGGGATAGTGCCAATTTACACTCTGACCAGTAACTTTTTAGAATTCATGTTTCCCCATAGTATTGCCAACAGTGCATTATCAAACTTTGGAACTTTTGCCAATCTGAGATACAAAAAGTGGTATCTCAGGGTACTTTTAAGCTGCATTTCCACTATAATGGAAGAGACTGAGCATCCTTTCATGGTTCATACACATTTATGTTTTCTTTTTATATCTTGCATTCATTCTTCTTTTGCGCTGTTGTTTTTCTTACTGATTTCCAGGAGTTTGTTAATAAATTAAGGAAAAAAGTTTGTAATATGAACTGCAAATTTTTTTCCAGTTTGTACATTGTTTCCTCTCTTTGCTTTTGGTGTTTTTTATCATGCAAGTTATTGATTTTTAAAACTGTTTTATTGCAATATCATTCACAGCTCAACCACTTATTCAGTTCAGTGGTTTTTAGTATATTCACAGGATTATGCATCTATCACAACAATCAATTTTGGAATATTTTCATTAACTCCTTAGCAGTCACTCCCCATTTCTCCTGAAACCCCCCACCCTAAGCCCTAGACAACCATAAATCTACTGTCTGTCTCTAAAGATTTGCCTAGTCTGGACATTTTCCTATAAACGGAATAAGTGGCCTTTTGTGTCTGGCTTCTGGATACCAGTCCCTTATCAGGTAAATGATTTTCAAATCTTTTCTCCCATTCTGTGGGTTGTCTTTTCATCTTTTCACTTTCTTGATGGTATCATTTGCAGCACAAAAAGTTTTTTTTAACTTTGATGATGTTCAATTACACACACACACACTTTCTTGTAGCTGTTCCTTGGGTCTTTGATGTTATATGTATGAAGGCTTTGTCTAACCCAAGTTCACAAAGATTTACTCCCATGTTTCAAGCTCTTACATTTACTTCTATAATCCATTTTGAATTCATTTCTGTGTATGGTGTAATGAAGGAAGTTTTGTTTTATGTAGCCAAATTTAACAACCTTTTATTATATGTCTTCTGAATTTTCATAGTTAGAAAGGGCTTCTGCACTCCAAGATTATAAAAAAAATTCTCTGATTTCCTAGGGTACATTTATGATTTCCCCTGTTTACACTTAAATCTCTTAACTCTTCTATAATTTATCCTGGTCTGCAACATGAGATGTAGATCCAACCTTTTTTTTTTTTCCTTAGCTACCCAGTTGTCCACCACCATCTCTTAAATAGTTCATTTGTTCCCCATTGATTTGAGGTGCCACCTTCATGATATGTATATAAAAACATTTTTAAACTGTATAATGAAAATAAAAATAAAGGACAACTGGAAGAGTATGCAGGAAAAGATAAGGAAATAAGTGTGAAAATATACGGGCCTCATGATTTTATTTTGGGTAGAAGCAGCTCTTTGACAACTTTCTCAATTTTTTCCCATGGGTACTGGTGTGTTTAGGTTTACTGTAGCTTCTAGAATTAATATTAACCATTTGCATTCTTCCGGGAAATGTCCCATTTCATCTAGGTTTTCAAACGTATTAGGAAGGAGTTATACAAAGTACTTTCTTATATTTTTTAAAATTTCTTCATATCTATAGTTATGCTCCTTTTTCTCATTTAAGACTTCATATTCTTGATTAGGTTTACTTATCTATTTTATTTTCTTCTTCCAATAACACCTTCTGGTTTATTTGTTGAGTCTATAGGTTTTTGTTTTTTTTTTACTGGGGTGTAGTTGTTTTACAATGTTGTCTTAGTTTCTACTGTACAGCAAAATGGAGTTCCCTGTGCTATACAGAAGGTTCTTATTAGTTATCTATTTTATAAATATTAGTGTATATATGTCAATCCCATTCTCCCAATTCATCCCCCCATCCACTTCCCATTAGTGTCCATACATTTGTTCTCTATTTCTGTGTCTCTATTTCTGCCTTGCCTTTGTAGTTCATTAATTTCTGGATTTTTAAAATGTTATTGATTTCTTCCTTCAGTTTTCGTTAGCTTTATTGTTCTTCTAGCTCACTGACTTGAAAGCTCAATTTATTTCCTTTTAATTCTCACTTGTTTCATCTAGGTATTTCATCTGTACTTTATTTATTAATTTATTTATTTTGGCTGTGCCACACAGCTTGTGGGATCTTAATTCCAAGACCAGGGCTTGAACCCAGGTCCTCAGCAGTGAAAGTGCAGAGTCCTAACCACTGGACCGCCAGGGAATTCCCTCATCTGTACTTTATACCCACCTATGTTGTTCCAATATTACAAAGAAATTGTGTTATTTATGTAAAAATGAGAGAGAGATTACAAGAAGAAAACATTTCAAAAATCAAAATAATTGAGCAGGGCCAGAACTGGGAGTGAAGCAGAAGGCATTCCCCGTGGGTGCACAATTTAAGAGGGTGCCAAAAACTCAGTAATCAAGACAAATGATATCTTGATGCAATAATTTGGAAAGTCAAATTGTAAAATTATGGCCAGCAGGCTGGCTGCCTGCTTTCATAAATACAGTTTTATCGGAACTAGGGCCAGGACTAGAGTAAGGTGACTGAGGCATGGCTTACCAAGTACGGGAGTGGATCTCACTTTTTAAAAAAACTTAATATTTTGTTCACAGGTGTTTTGGACAATTTAATTTCTGAAAATACTGCATTAAAAATGCATCTTGGGGCTTCCCTGGTGGCGCAGTGATTGAGAGTCCGCCTGCCAATGCAGGGGACACGGGTTTGTGCCCTGGTCCGGGAAGATCCCACATGCCGTGGAGCGGCTGGGCCCGTGAGCCATGGCCGCTGAGCCTGCGCGTCTGGAGCCTGTGCTCCGCAATGGGAGAGGCCACAACAGTGAGAGGCCCGCGTACCGCAAAAAAAAAAAAAAAAAAAAAAATGCAACTTGATTACTAAGATTTGGGGCATCCTCTTAAATTTTGTACCTGATGTGGGTTGCTTTATTTGCCTCATCCAAGACCTGGCCCTATAATTGACTCTTGATGACAGTATAATGACTTTTTTATTTCTTTATACTTCTGTACACTTTCCAAATTCTGCACAATAAGCATAACAATAAGGATTACTTTGACCATCAGGAAAAATTAATTAATTAATTTTTTGCGGTACGCAGGCCTCTCACTGTTGTGGCCTCTCCCGTTGCAGAGCACAGGTTCCGGACGCGCAGGCTCAGCGGCCATGGCTCACGGGCCTAGCCGCTCCGTGGCATGTGGGATCTTCCCGGACCGGGGCACGAACCCATGTTCCCTGCATCGGCAGGCAGACTCTCAACCACTGCGCCACCAGGGAAGCCCAGGAAAAATAATTTAAAAACGAAGTCAAGACTCACTCAATGATGTTCCTTGTGATTTCACCATGGGGCTTGCAGGAAACAAAAACTAGTATGCGGATGGCCCCGTAGTTTCGAATGGCTTGAACCACCTGGTAATCTAAAGGAAGAAACACATTGCTATTAATATAATTAAACTATCATGGTCCAGGTTATCACAAACTTGCAACTGGCTGGCACATAGCACTGGTTAGGAAAAGAGGAGAAGCAGGTTCAGAGCCAGCTCACTGAGAGCAGCCTTAACATGGTATAGAAATGAGAGACCAAAGCTGGTGGACATCATGGGAATACCTAACTAGCTCTGTAGCAGGAAATCTAGTCATCCTTACGCAGTCCCGGCCCGGGCTGGGTTCACTACAGCAACAATTAACTGCCCATCTTCCTTTGACTTCAGTAGCTGTGGCAAAATCTTCTCTGCTCGACCAGTATGGAATTCACAGTTGGTGATGCCTGCAAAAGAGAGGCCCACGTGCCATAACTCAAAATGCAAGCCAAGCAGTTGGGGGTGGGGAGCTTCAGCTTTATAGAAACGTACAGAAAGCAGGGAGGGCTCTGCCATCTTCCCTTTAGATCTAACATACTTCTGCATAACAATGAAAGAAATGCTTTTGGAGCTGCTTCATTTTTTCCAATGCGCTTTCCCTTGCAATATCTCTGTAGGCCTTTCAGCTTGAGAGACTAGATGTGTTATTTTACAACTTAGTGACTCACACAGCACATAAGGACCTATACCAAGAAGAGAACCTTGACTATAACTCAAGTGCTCCTTCTGCTATATTGGAGGCTTTCACATGGAGCCTCAGGAGCCGTCTAGAAGTGAAGTAGAGGGGAAAGAAAATCTTTTTTCTATGTTGCAGTTTGGCCTAAGACTTTGTTCAAAGAAAAGGTCCTACTGCTAAAAATAGTTTGAAACCTATTGTATTGTTATGATGCCTCATGAGTCTAATGTCAAGAAGGCTCTTCTATATTATTCAAAGTTTTGCCAAGTTCCCTTCCTATCAGCTAGGCTTATTCCTTCCCTTAGGCTTTTTCCAGATAGAAACAAAAAGATTAGGGAGGGATAAATTAGGAGTTTGGAATTAACATATACACACTACTATATATAAAATAGGTAACCAACAAAGACCTACTGTATAACACAGGGAACTCTACTCAATATTTTGTAATAACCTATAAGGGAAAATAATTTTTTTAATGAATTTATTTATTTTTGGCTGTGTTGGGTCCCCGTTGCTGTGCCCGGGCTCCCTCTAGCTGTGGTGAGTGGGGGCCACTCCTCGCCACAGTGCACGGGCCTCTCATTGCTGTGGCCTCTCCCGTTGCGGAGCACAGGCTTCAGTAGTTGTGGCTCGCGGGCTCTAGAGTGCAGGCTCAGCAGTTGGGGCGCACGGATCCAGCTGCTCCGCAGCATGTGGGATCCTCCTGGACCAGGGCCTGAACTCGTGACTCCTGCATTGGCAGGAGGATTCTCAACCACTGCACCACCAGGGAAGCCCAGGGAAAATAATTTGAAAAAGAATATATATATATACATATATATATATATATATATGTACATATATATAACTGAATCACTTTGCTGTATACCTGAAACTAACACAACATTGAAATCAACTATACTTCAATTTTTAAAAAAAAGAAAAAAAAAGGGGGACCTCTTTTAGAAAGTCATCAGGATCCAACTCTGAGCACTCCAGAACACCTTCCCTTCCTCCCCAGTCATGGATACAGTAGATGCCCTTTCCCACACAACCGTTCCCATAGTACAGAACAACTACAGCTCTTAATTTCTCCCCAGAATGTGAGCAGTGTACCATTGAAGGCTACAGTCCACCTGGCATCCTCTACCGCCTGCTCCACCAACTCAATCCCAAGGACCTAGGAGGTATACTGAGCCAGAGAGAGGCCAATCACACCTGGGGAAGTAGGAGAGAATAAGAGGAGGGTATTTTATGGTATTACCAATGAGGTTATGCCTGCACCACTATCACCACCTCCCCACCTCGGCTGCAAGGGCCCTGGGTGCTGCGTGGATGGTGTTGGGGAGATAAGCTGCATGTTGATTCTGCCCTGGGCTGCCACTTGCCAGTTACACAGCAGATGTCAAGGAGGATGGTGTTAGAGTTCACTCCACTCAGCTCCCCCACAGTCCGATACAGTATCTCTGCACCAGCAATGTTAACCTGGAAAAAGGCATCTGGAGAGATGCAGATCTTCAACCCCAGGAGATCTTCAAAGATGTGGGGTTCCCCAAACAGGAGCTGGTAGGGGGACTGCTGATGGCTGCAACGGGTCGTAGTGCTAGAAAAGAATAAAAGGAGAAAGCACCTTGGAATGGCAGACCAACCTATCTCTAGTGGTTGGTTGGAGAGGGAGGCCCCAGCATCTCAGCTAGGAGACAAAGCCTCCATGGCATGGCCCTGAGAGCTCTGGAGGAGTTTCCCTCTCAGGGGATGGAGGTACATGCAAACACTTGGTCATCAGCGGCGCTGCCTCAGTAATCCACAACCCAGACTATGGCAAGCCATCAGACTGCGGCTTGCTGTTGGGCTGTCCCAGGTTTACCTTTCCTGGAAGTAAAGTGATGTCAAGTCACAGACTGCTCCTGGCCCTTTGGTGAAAAACTTCTTTACAGTCTCCTTCTGAACACAGAGCTCCTGCCCAGACCACAAAATCAGGAGTCAAGCAAAAACCCACCTCTGACAAATTTTCTCTCCAAGCTCTATGGTAATCAGCCCTGCAGTAGTCAGACAAGAAGGCACATTACTCAAATCCTATTATAGATAACACTCAAAGCAATATTCTGTAGGACCAAAAAAAAAAAAAGCTATTTTCACATCTCAGCAGAAGCACTCCTTTGCTTATTGGCTTTTGACAAATGCTATACAACAGACATGGCACTTTCTCTGGTTTGAGCCTCTTTAATAGTTCTCTAAAGAAAGTGTGAGAGTTATTCTTGTTGTAACCTAGGAGCTAAACTAAGCTTTTGTCCCATCACAAACAAGCAATAACCTTTCAATTCCTTTCACACTTCTCTACTTCAAATATCCCATCCACCCATCCAAACACCACCTCAGAAGACACACGTCCTAAGAGAAAGGAAAGAAAGGGCACGGAACAGAATGAGCACGGTAACTAAATCCTTTCTTCGAGTTCTAAACGTTTTAAAATTCTTACGTCACTACAGAGAGCCCTATCCATCAGCTAGACACAAGGACATATGACAATAAACTATGTTGGAGCTATAGAGTTAAAAGGCCAGGAATCAACGACCTGGGTTCAAGCCCTATAGCTTTGCTATTTACTAGCTCTTTAACCTTGCGTACCTCTATGCCTCCATTTGCTCAGCTGTGAAATGAAGGGAACAATACCTCTCCCTCTCCAGCCTACTTCACAAGTTGCTTGAGATGATCACATAAGTATTAGAATATTTTGATACAGGCATGTTTGAAAGCTCTAAGTATATTACAAATGTAAAAGTATTATGTAGATTATGAAATTCTGACCATATTCTAGTCTCTATTAAATTGGCTTCTGGAATTAGTAGAACACCTAATAAGTTCTGTGGGCAAAGTTCTTGTGAAAATCCTCAGGAGTCCTCACATGATAATTAACTTGGTAACCTAGCCTCAGTCTCTTTGGTTTCATTATGCCAGCAGCATGGTTAACAGGATCCTTGCCATCTCCTCATCATCATCCCCAACCCTTCTTTCCAACCCATACATTCTATGGATGCATTGTTTCTGCTATCTTCCCTCAAACCTCCAAATACCAACTGCAGCATATTGATAGTAAGGGCTGCTATAGAAGCTGTTCCTTATCATCCTTTGAGTCTCACCTGCCTTAATTCCTGGGGATGGAAAGAGATGATGGCCATTGTGTGCCCTTGGCTATTGGTGTGGGCTATGAGCTCACGCCAGTACCCACCTTCACGAAACAGAAGGCAGGGCTCCAATGGGGACTGTTGAAGGAATACTTCGTAGTACTAGGAAGAAAACAGTACTATTACACAGGCAAAACTAACTAAGTTTGACAGCTCATTATTCATGCTGAGCGACTGTTACGGGCTGAAGCGTATCCCCCCCACACACAAATTCATATGTTGAACGCTTAGTACCTCAGAATGTGACCAGATTTGGAGACGAGGTCTTTAAAGATGTGTTTAAGTTAAAATTAGGCCATTAGGGTGGGTCCGAATGCTGTGGTTTCAGTTGGCCACGCTGCTACCCCAGTGGGCCCACCACACCAGTGGGCCTGGAGGACAGTATCAACCCATAGAGGATTATTCTCAAGCCTTAAAATTTAGTGGAATTTGCCCTGCTAGGTTTCAGATTTGCTTGGGACCCAAGACCCCTTTCTTCTTTCTGATTTGTTCCTTTTGGAATGGGAATGTCTATCCTATGCCTGTCCTACGATTGTATTTGGGAAGCAGATAATTTGTCCAGCTTCACTGGTTCACAGCTAATTCTGTCTTAGGATGAATTATACCTTGACTGATACCTCTCATCCACACTTCATTTAGATGAGATTTAGGACTTAGAGTTGATGATGGAATGTGTTAAGAATTTTGGGCTGTTGGAATGGGGGTGAATGTATTTTGCATGTGAGAAGAACATGAATTTTGGGGGTCCAGAGGAGAGTGTTGTGGGCTGAACTGTGTCCCCCTAGGATTCATACATTGAAGTCCTAACCCCCAGTACCTCAAAATGTGACTGTGTTTGGAAATAGGGCCTTTAAGTAGGCGATTAGTTAAAATGAGGCAGTTAAGGTGGACTCTAATCCAATCTGACTGTTGTCCTTATAAGAAGAGGAAATTTGGATACACAGAAACATCAGGGATGTGCACGTGCACAGAGGAAAGCCCACATGAGGACACAGCAGAAAGGCAGCCATCTGCAAGCCAAGGAGAGAGGTCTCCGAAGAAACCAAACCTGCTGACACCTTGATCTTGGACTTCCAGCCTCCGGGACTGTGAGAAAATAAGTTTATGTTGTTTAAGCCACCCAGTCTGTGGGATTTTGTTATGGCAGTCCTAGCAAACTAATGCAGTGATATAAGAAACATGATCACTGCCCTGCAACCTTACTGAGGGATCCTATCCATGACAGCCCAAAAAGTATGTTCCATGAAGGCTCAGAGTTGTATCCTGAGTCTAGCACATAACCAGTGCTCAATAATTATTATTGAAAGAAGGTATGAAACAGCAAAGGTATCTGTATGAAGAATTTCAGCTTGTTGTGTACACAGCGTGGAATACAATAATCATCCATTTCTGTGAATTCCTCCTGGCAGCAATTCCTAATATACTACTAAGCTGCTATAATTCCATTCTTACTTATAACTTCCTGATGTAAGCCCATTGTTTCTGTATTTCTTCATATAACCAGGTGCCAACTAGCTTAGTTGGATCCTTCATCTTCCCCTGGTAAATACAGGTCAAAAGCAATCCTGATTCAGTGTTGAGATATCAGAAATCCTTAAAGCCAAACTTCAAACACAAGCCAGTTGCTGCCACAACAGGACACACTATCTGATCTACTAGGTCCTCTTGTTTTCATAATGCATGGGTTCTGGATCCACTGCATTTTCACACAAACCCAAAATAGTGCATGGAAGGGAGAGTTACACCAAAAAACAGTGCCACTTGAGAGGGTAAAAATCAATTAAGGGTGCACTTGACCACTTCTGCTATAATTTCATATAAATGCAACATAAGATGCTTAACTATACTTATACTGAACAAATTTTTCCAAATTTTGAAGTTGGTGATTTAAAGAAAGACTGGTTCAACTGTTGTTTACTTGCTGGTTGGAAAGGAATGTTTTCTGGAAGAAGATTCAAATGTCTTTGAGGTCCTAGAAGGATGGGAACTGAAAAACTGAGTCTGACCTGGAAGATAATGGGTAAGTAAATATGAAATACAGCTTCTCCACTGTATGAGCCAAGGCTTTGGTTTCTTCATTTATAAAATAGAGCCTGAAACTCCTATTCTTACATGGGAATGCCTAAGCATCATATTGCAATATACAGTTGACCCTTGAACAGCATGGGTTGGAACTGTGTGGGTCCACTTACATGTGGATTTTTTTCAATAAATATGTACTACATTACTACACAATCTGTGGTTGGTTGAATCTGGGGTTGGTTGAACTCGAGACATGGAACTGCAGATATGGGAAAACCAAGGATATGGAGGGCCAACTACAGAGTTATAGGTGCATTTTCAACTGTGCAGAGGGTCAGCGCCCCAACCCCCATGTTGTTCAAGGGTCAACTGTATCAAATCAACACACTGTACACCCTAAACTTACACAATGTTGCATGTCAATTATACCTCAATAAAATAAAATTTTTAAAAAGAGTGAAAGGGCCTTCTGGTTAAAATAACAGACTATTCCTCTTTAAAATCCTACTAAAATGAAATAAAGGAATAAAAAAGACATAAACGTACTTAAACTCATTGATCCACCAATTCTCCCTTCTCTCTCTCTTGCATCATTTTCCTCCCTCACTACTGGATCATTCCCATCAATACACAAACATGTTCTTCTAACTCTCCCACCTTTAAAAAGAAAAGTAACCTTCTCGAACCCACTTTCCCCTCCAGCCACTGTTCCATTTCTCCGCTCCTCTTTGTAGCAAAGCTCCTCAAAAGAACTGTCTATATTCACTGCCTCCCATTCCTCTCCTTCTACTCACCCACTCAAATCAGGTCCCTACCACTCCACCTAAACAGCTCCCATTATGGTCACCAACGACCTCCGTGTCATGCAGTTCAAAGGTCAATTCACACTCCTCATCTTACTTGACCTACTAGCAGCACTGGCACAGCTGATGAGCCCCTCCTCCTCAGTTCACTGTCTTCACTAGGCTTTCAGGATCCCACACTCTCCTGGTTTCCTCTGACCTCACTGGCTGCCCCTTCTCAGTCACCTTTACTGGTTCCTCTTCTCCTTCCAGACCTCTTAAAATGGGAATGCCCCTGGGTTCAGTCCATGTTCCTGTTCTCTTTCTATCTACTCTCACTCCCTTGGTCATCTCTTCCAGTCTCATGATTTTAAATAACATCTACATGTTAACAACTCCAAGATTTCTAATTCTTGAACCTCATCCTAACAGATCCAACTACCTATTTAACATATCCACTCAGATGCCTAATAGGTATCTCAATGCAACATGTCCAAAATTGAGCTACTAACCTCCCCCTGCTCAAATCTGCTCTGCCACAGCTTTTTCCATTTCCGTAGATAGTAACTCCACTGTTCCACTTTCTCCTCCCAAAAACCTAAAGCCATTTTTCACTCCTCTCTTTCTCTTATACCTTTCACTCAATCAATCAAGAAATCCTGCAGTTCTGTCTTCAAGATATATCCACCTCCACTGCTGCTCCCACTGGGCTATATCATCTCACATCTGGATTACCACATGAGCCTCCTAACTAGTCTCTCCCTGCTTCTACCTTTCCCTGCAACAATCCATACACAATATAATAGCCAGAGTGATCCTGTTTAAAACCTAAATCATATCATGAGATGCCCGCCCCCCAATCAAAACCTCCAACAGCTCAGAATAAAAGCCAAAGTCCCAACAATGACCTCTAAGGCACTACACTATCTGGTCCCCATTAACTACCTTACCTCTTCTCCTATTACTCTTCTGAGTCTACCTTCAGTTCCTCCAGAAAGCATGCCATACTCCTACCTTAGGGCCTTTGCCATGGCTGTTTTCTTTGGCTAGAATGCTCTTCCCTCAGACCTTCACATGGTTGACACCCTCATTTCCTTTAAGTCTTAATTCCAAAGTTTCTCAACCTTGGCACTATTGTCAATTCTGTGTTGTGGGGGGCTGTCCTCTGCACTGCAGGATGTTTAACAGCATCCTTGGCCTCTACTCACTAGAAAGATACCAGTAGCACCGTCCAACTATCCCCCAGTGGTGACAACCAAAAATGTCTCCAACATTGCTAAATGTCCCCTGTAGGGCAAAACTAATTCCAGTTGAGAACTACTGCTTTATTCAAATATCACCTTCTCAATGAAGCCTACGTTGATCCCATTTAAAATTACAGCCCGCATTTCCCCCAAACTTATGACTTCTCATCCTCCTTATCCTGCTGCATTTTCCCCAGGGCATTTGTCTTAGTCTGTTTGGACTGCTAAAACAAAAGTACCATAAACTGGATGACTTATAAACAACAAAAATTCCTCAGTTCCGGAGACTGGGAAATCCAAAATCAAGGTTCCGGCAGATTCAGTGTCTGGTGACAGCTTCCTCAATGACGGCTTCTGTCTTTTCACTGGAACCTCACATGGCAGAATGGACAAGCTAGGGGCTTCCCTGGTGGCACAGTGGTTAAGAATCTGCCTGCCAATGCAGGGGACACGGGTTTGAACCCTGGTCCGGGAAGATCCCACATGCCACGGAGCAACTAAGCCCGTGCGCCACAACTACTGAGCCTGCGCTCAAGAGACCATGAGCCACAACTACTGAGCCCACATGCCACAACTACTGAAGCCTGCGTGCCTAGAACCCATGCTCTGCAACAAGAGAAGCCACCACAATGAGAAGCCCACGCACCACAACGAAGAGTAGCCCCCGCTCACCACAACTACAGAAAGCCCGTGCACAGCAACGATGACCCAACACAGCCAAAAAAATTTTAAAAAACAAACAAATAAATAAATAAATAAATGAAAAGAATGGACAAGCTAGTTCTCTGGGTCCTCTTTTATAAGGGCACTAATCCTAATCATGAAGGCTCCACTCTCATGACCTAAGCACCGCCCAAAGGCCCCAACCTCTTAATACTATTACCTTGGGGGTGAGGATTTCAACATATGAAATTTGGAGGGACAGAAACATTCAGACCAGCACTGCACTTATCACCTTCTAACATATTATATAATTTACTTTATTATTTTTTTTTAAAAATCTGTCTCCCCCCACTAAAATATAAGTTCCACAAGGGAAGGGATATTTTCTTCA